TCATCACTTAAACTAAAAATACTATTTAGACAACTTTTGAATAAACTAGGGAGATCTTAAAGGAAAAAGGATATGATCCATAATGTTTTTTAATCATGATAAGCTGTTTTAGAAGTTATACTAGCAGATGGTAATAGATATTCTAAACTTCAACTTGGGAAAATAATCCAGACAAATTAAGGTCTTTCTTATAAACAATAACAGCCTCTGGCGGTACAGGACCAGGAGAATCTGTAGAAGTAGGATTATGGTGGGCTAACAAATAAAATGATGAAGACCCAATAAGCCAAGTAATAGTTTTAGGGGATTAACCTGCACATCTATAGAATGAAGCTTAAGCTCATAGAAATTCATTTGGATAAACTTATTGGGATAGTACTCCACTAAAAGAATTAACTTATTATGTTCCAGAGTGTTAAAAACTTAGCAGTAAAAAGATTCCTGCGAATACATTTTATCTCCATCCAGGAGCAAAAAGTACATATGAAGATATTGCAAAATTAACTAGCGGAATTAGTGAATATCTAGATATAAATTCAGCCTAAAGCTCCAAAAAATTAACAAATCTGTTTGTCGAATCACTTTTAAAAGATATTGGAAAGCAAGATGGTCGTAGCAACGAATTAATTGCAGCATACAAAGCCAAGTTTTCTTGATTTTGTTATAAAGTAAAATAATTTGTGTTTAATTATTAGTTTTGTATGAAGTATATATTGTAAATTCATATTTTTTATTCTTTTTAAACTCATTAAACTAAAATTAAATTACTAAAAAAATCATCTTTCTAAACTTCTTTTAGTTATATATTTATGAGTAGAGCATATCCAAAATTAAAAGGTATTTAACTTTATGTATGTAGCTTAAAAATTATTTAATAGCTTTGAAAAATGGTTAAATACTCTATCACTAAATATTCTTAATTGTTGGTTGAGAAGAAAAGTTAATCTATATGCTATATATGAGATTCTAAATATATTATTACCAAGAAAACCTTCATATAAATAAATACCTTTAAAATAATCTAATTAATTTTTCAAAAAAGACTGTTAAAAATTCTAAATGTATATTTAAAAAATAACTAGATAATAATTTTATATATTCTAAATGCTTCAGATAAAAAATGAAGCCACTTGGTTTTAGTTAAATGTCTTAAAATGAAATAATAAATCAAAACTTTAACAATATACAATATGAGTTATTCACTTATTATATTCCATTATGTAGTTTACAAATTACTTAATAGTTTTATAAAAATGATTAAATTTTCTATTGATAAATATTCTTAATATTTAAGAGGAAAAATTAATCTTTTTGCTAATATGAGGTTTCAATATATAATTAGCTATAAAAAATTCATATAAAAGCCTTTAAAATAATTTAATTTATCTTTCAAAAAAATTGTTTTTAAAATGTATCTCTTAAAAATGAATGTAAATATTTTTAAATATTCTAAATGCTTCAGATACAAAATGAAACCACTTGATTTTAGTTGAATGTCTAAAAATGAAATAATAAGCCAATCCTCTAATATACAATTGTTAAGGATATATAGTTTTCAAATTATTGAAATACTTTTATAAATAATACTAAATATTCTAAATGCTTGAGAGAAAAAATTAATCAATTTTTGTAAATTATTTACTAACTAGAAAGCTTTGCTCTAAAAACCTTTCAAATGATCTAATTTATTTTTCAAATAATTTGTCAAACGTTTTTAATTGTCTACAAAAAATAAAAAGCTAATATTGTTAAATATTCTAAAAACTTCATATAAAAAACTAAGAATAATAAGTTATTACCTTAATAAATGTATATAATAATAGCAATGGTTAGGGAGTTTTCAAATTATCTATCTATCTAATTGCTTTTCCAAAAATAGTTAAAAACTTTAAACATTGAGATAAAATATTAATCTATTTGCTTGTATATAATTTTATTTTAATAAATGCTTCACAGCACATCTTAATGATATTGAATTAAATAATATAAACATACAATATAATAGATTTAATACATTTTTAATTATATAATAGTTTTATATTTTTAATTAATATATATTTTTTTAAGATAAAATTATATAAAAAATTTATTTATTGTTAAAATCATTATCTTTAAACATTATTTGGATCTTTATGAATTTTCTTTATTTTTTCTTATTTATTAATCAGCTATAAATGATATTAGTTGAAATTGTATTTATTATAGAGAATAAGTTTATAACTACATTTAAACAGGTGAAATAAAAAACATTACAAATTATGAACCAAAGAAATAAGTTCTTTTAATAGATGAAGTTGATGTTTTCTTTAGTAAAGATTTTTTTGGAAACAACTATGAAATTGTAGCACCAATCTAAGATGTAACAATTGAAAACCTGCTAGATAAAATTTGGAGCAATAAATCTGATTGGAATTTTAGCTTTGAAAATATTTCTCAATCTGAGGAGTATAAATAGTGCATAGAAAAATTCAAATAATAGGCTGAATTAATAAAAGAATAAACAAAAATAGTTATTCATGATTTTAAAAATTTCAACAACATAATTGTTGAAAATTATAAAATTCAAAATGACAAAATAAACTATAAAAACTAAGATTAGTATTTAAATAATATATCATATGGATATAGAACTTTATACACCTACTATCTTGAAAATTAGAATTCAAGAATTTCAAATTTTAGCTTAAAGCAATAAAAAGTATTTAAAATTAACTGCGGTAGCTTTAGCTATTCAGAGTTACCTAAAAAGTTTTTCATAATCAAAGGTGTAACTGGAACTTTAGAAACTTTAAGTGGAAAACAATTAGAATTAATTCAATAAAATTATAAAATGAATTAATATACTTTGATCCCTTCAGTGTATGGAAAAAGTAAGTTTTCATTTAATGAACAAAAAGATATTAAAGCAGTTCCTTTAGAAGAGTATTATAATGCTATTACAGATGAGATAAATAAAAACTTAGTTGGAAAAAATAATGCAAAAAGGGCTGTTCTTGTCTTCTTTTCTACTAAAGAGTCTTTATTTGAGTACTACAATAGCTAATAATTTATAGTCTTAAAGTAAAATTAGTAAACTTAAATTATGACAGAAGAAAATTCTATTGAAGAAAGAATGAAAATTGTATATGATTCAACCTGTTCTGCGGTAATTACTTTAATGACTAGGATATTTGGTAGAGGTATAGATTTTAAAGTCAACGACATCACCATATTTTAAAATTATGGAGTTCATGTAATCCAAACTTTCTTTTCTGAAGATAAGTCTGAAGAGACATAGATAAAGGGAAGAACAGCTAGATAAGGCGAAGACGGCACTTATAGCATAGTCCTTTAAAAAGATACTCTTTAAGCTTTCCTTAAAAATGACAAAGACACAATGTAAATAAATAAACGAGATTAGATATATGAAGTTCTTGATAAAAATCGTGAGATTAACTTCGAAAATGACTTCAACAGTAATTTGGAATATTTAACAACTTCAATTAAGAGTCACAAATAATCAGAAATATTTTTAAATTATTTGAAAGATCGTAATTTAAAACAAATAAGTAATCATTTATTGTAGCTAAATTAAGGCCCAAAAGAAAAAAGAAATTCTAAAACTCTTATTGCATTAGATGTAACAGGCTCAATGGGTAATCTCATAACTTAAACTAAAAATACTATCTAAACAACCTTTGAATAAGCAAGGGATATCTTAAAATAAAAAGGTTATGATCCTTAATGCTTTTAAATAATGATATGCTGCTTTAGAAGTTATAATAGTAAATTTGAGGAGATATTAGAAGCTTCAAGTTGGGAAAATAACCCTGATAAATTAAGATCTTACCTATAAAAAATTACAGCTTCTGGTGGTACGTATCCTGGAGAGTCTGTAGAAGTAGGTTTGTGGTGGGCTAATAAATAAAGTGATGAAAATCCAATAGGTTAAGTTATAGTTTTAGGTGATTAGCCTGCACATCTGTAGTAAGAAGCTTAGTCACATAGATAATAACTTGGATAACTTTATTGGGATTCTACTCCTTTAAAAGGTTTAACTTATTATGTTCCAGAGTGTTATAAACTTTAAAGCAAAAATGTCCCAGTAAATACTTTTTATCTAAATTAATCTGCAAAATAAACTTATGAAGAGATTGCAAGTCTAACAAAAGGTATAAGTCAGTTTCTTGATATAAATTCAGCTTAAAGTTCCAAAGAATTAAAAAATGCTTTTGTTGAATAAATTTTAAAAGATATAGGAAAAGAAGATGGTCGCAGTAATGAATTAATTTAAGCATACAAAGAAAAATACTCTTGAGTTTGTTTGTTTATTCAAAATATTATTTTAAATTGATATATTTTGTTTGTGTAATAAACTAACTAACTAACTAACTATATTTTTATATGTTTGATTTTTATTTTTAAAATTTAAAAAGTTGATTTAATATTTTTTATAGTTATTATATTTAAAATTATAATTGATAATCCTTAATTGACTTTCTTACATACAATCAAAAATCTATTTAACTCCAAAAATTTTACACAAAAAAAAACTTACTAAAATTTATCTGCTTTCAATTTTTGTTAAATTTTTCTAATTTTTATCAATTTAAATAAAATTATTTATTTATATTGCTAAAAAAGAAGAACATAGTTCACAATAATATTATGAGAAAAAGGCTTATTTTTCCATAATTTACTAAATTACTTGATACTTCCTTTAATTTTATAACTTATTATCTTATTTTTAATTAATTTCCATCAATAAGCTTTATCCTATAATTAATAAAAGGTTATTTTGTTTTTTCCTTCAATAGCTTCTGGTTTTAGATTTTAAAAATTTTTAGTATTTACAAATACTCTAATATTGGTGATTTTTTTTTACAGATAACAATATATATCACAACGTACACCCCTATATATATATGCCCTTATATAATTTCAAATATTCTTTCTTGTAGTAATAAAAATAATTTTATTTAAATATCCTAAAAAGTATTTACTATTTCAACAATTAAATATATTATCATCCATTTATAGTGCTCAGTTTTAAAATGCTCTCTATTCTCTTTTTGTATGAAAAATTAAGGGATTTATCAATAAGAAAGCTTGAATTATGGTTTTATATATTTACCAATTAATTCTGAATATAAAAACATTCAAAAATCATCTTATTAAACCCCATTAATTGCATTTTAAATCATTAAAATCTAAATATTCTAATTTATCAAATATTTGATTTAAATACAAACAATTTTTACCATTATTTAATATCTTAATACATAAATAAAATTAAATTAAACAAAAAACTAAAAGAAAATGGAGCTAGACTATTCAAGCAATGATGAAGAAGATATTTAATTTGATAACTAAATTTCAAGACAGTAAGTAGGTTAACAAATGAGATTTGTTCATGAAGACAAACTAAAGAACTTTTGCTTAGATGATAACATATTACTATTGCTAAAATTCTTAAATGAAAAATATCCAGATGTAGAATGTATGACTCTTTTTAATCTCATAAATGAATAAATGATGTTAGAAAGTGAATCTACTATAAGATAAATATAACCATTATATTAAGCAACCCTACAAGAGTATAAAAATTAAAAATTTGAAAAAGCATAAATAGAAATCAGTAGATTGTTTAGAGCGATTAATCCTTTGAACTTCCAAAAAATATGTGATGAGGTAAGTGAATCCTACAATTCTAGTAAAGAAATGAATAACTTGGAGGTTGTTATGAATTTTGGAAACACAGGGGTTGGAAAGAGTACTTTCATTCACTACTTAGCAGGATCAAAAATTAATAAGACAATCAATAAAGAAGGGCTAAATCACTGGGAGCCCACTAATCCTTTATACAAAGCTTTAGATCGCGTTATTTCTAAACCAGATGCCAAATCAGAAACAAAGTTTGTCACTCTTGTTAAAATCAAACCTTCAGACTAAGAAGGAAATGAGTTTGGTGATGATGATGAAATTAACTTATGCGATACTCCTGGTTTTTTGGATTCAGAAGGATTAGAAGCAGAGATTTCAAATCTAACTGGAATTCATAAATGTATTTCAGTTTGCAAGAGCATAAAACCTATTGTGTTAGTTAGTGAAGAAGAAATCTCTAATAGAAGTTAAGGAATAAAAAATCTAGCAAACGTTATTAAAAAAATGGTGAATCCTACATAAAATTTTCAATAAATAATTGGAAAATTCTTATTTGTCTTCTGTAAATTTTAAAATGAGAATAATAAGTAGCAACTTCACAATAAACTCAAAAATATTTACAAAAATTTAAATGATGATTAAAAAAAAGATTAAGAATTTTAATATGTGCTTAAAACTATGTTATAATAAACTTAAGATGAAAAAAACATAGTTTTCTTTGATCTCAGTATAAATGGATATGATGTTCATATAAAGGCATATTAAAAATAAATAAGCTATTCAAATGCCAAAGGAAGCTTTTACTTGCTTTTTTACATCTGAAGCAGAAACTTCCATTTCTCAGTAGTTAAAATAAGATCAAAGTAGAATACAAACAGCTTTAAAAAAAAGAAATTTTATACTCATTTTTAAAAAGCTTACTTAGTTAAATTTATTAAAAAAATATATACCAGATTTATCATCTATAACTAATTAATGGGAATAAAATGTTACTTTAGTTGATGAATACATAAATAGCGAAATTTAAAATGTAGATTTATTTATTGACCAAATTATTAATCTCAAGAAGATAGATGAATAATAAGTAACTAACTTTTTAAATACTAAATTAGAACTTTCTAAAATAGATATTTTATATGAACTTTTACCTTAAGCTGAAAATTTGGTGAAAAAATTAAATGGAGCATTATAAAGAGCTATTGCAGCACTACTTGAAAATGTGAAGTTGGAATTGATTTCATACAAATAAAATAATGTAAATGAATATTACTAGAAGCTGTTATTTTTATCAGATGTGATTAAAGATGAAAAATCCATTCATTTATTTATTGCTTAAGTGATGGAGAACATTTCAAACCAAATGAAAAAGTCAGAAATCTTTTTGTAACAAGACAACTTTGTTGGTTTTTTCGATGAGATGCAATAAATTATCAACTATATAGAGAGTTGCCCATTTTTACCTGCTAATCATGTTAAAGATTAAATTGTTAAGACTTTTGATTCGGTTATTTAAGTTATAGAAAACTTAAAGCAGACAATCTTTGATAAAATAAAATAATTAACAGCAAAGACAATTGAATAACATAAAACAGATATACAAAATGCTAAAGAAAAAATTCAATTTATTCTCTAAGAATTCAAAAAATCTAAATTAAATGATGAAATTTGTAAAGAAAAGATAAATATTTTTTAAAATTAATACAGAGAACAAATAGAAAGAGAATACTAAACTCTTGAGGAAAAAATCAAAGCTGTGATAAACGAGGATTCAAGTGATCTGTAAGGACTAAAATAAAGATTTATTTAACTTTAACTATTTTCTAAGTTTTAATCTAAACTTGAGTAACAATTTACAAGT